TCTGTATTGATCAATACAGCACTGCTCGATACGGTTAGATACGGGTACATGTATTGTTGCACCCCTAATACACACACACACACACACACACACACACACAATGATTTCACACCCTAATGATGAACAAAAAAAGAAAAAAAGAGAGAAATAAGCAAAACAAAAAAAGAACCAGTAATAATAAAACTAATAATAATAATAATAACGTAAGTAAATTTAAAAATTACAAAAAAGATGACAAATACTCAGGCAGCAGCTTGTATGAATGCTTATTATAAATGTTCATGTTTTACCAACAAATCAAATTTTACCATTTCTTCCAAATAACTTAACAGAAGCAGCATTTTTACAATCGTTGGCCAAGTTGTTCCACAACCTTATTCCTTGAACTCAGGTACATCTCTCTGTCAAGTTAGTTTGAAATTTAAGTTTCATAAACATTTCAAATCCTTTAAGATCATAAATATTTTGCCTCTTAATGAAGTTAGATTGAATGTTTGACTTGAATGTTTCAATTTTTGACCTGATCAAAGCTTCTGTAGGTTATTTTTGGAAAGWTTAGGATTTTTCAGCTTCAAAAAATCAGGTGTTTTAGACCAAACGGACATAAAAACATTGAAAAGATTTAAAAAATATTAAAACTTTATTGATGGTCTGAAGTTGTTGAAAAGATTTAATGAACTGCTAACATGCTAACTGTATACATGCATACAGTTAGGTCTATTTGGACACTGAAACCGTTTGTTTTTTACCTGTTTACTGAAACATATTGAAGTTATAGTTGTATAATGTTCATGGACATAAAGTGCAGACATTCAGCTTTCATTTGAGGTTCTCCACATTAAAACTGGATGAAGACTTCAGGAGTTTCAGCTCCTTAACATGTGCCTCCCTGTTTTTAAAGGGACCAAACGTAATTGGACAGTTGACTCCAAGGTTATCTCATGGACAGGTGTGGTCAACCCCTTCATTATGTTATCCTCAATGAAGCAGATAAAGGCCTGGAGTTGATCTGAGGTGTGCTGCTTGTATTTGAAGGTGTTGCTGTGAAGTAAACATGGTCAAAAGGAGTTCTCCGTGCAGGTGAAACAAGACATCCTTAAGCTAAAACTAAAAGTGTGGTCTTTGTTTCTGCAGATCCTGGACATCAACAGGCTGTACTCTAACGAGGTGCATGCCATGGCTAACACGTACGGCATCGAGGTGGCTCTGAAAGTCATCGAGAAGGAGATCAAAGATGTGTTTGCTGTTTACGGTAACCCACTWGCTGTTCCACACAAACCACACTGGTTCCAGGAGAAGCCACATCCTGACAGAGAACCTCTGACTGTCTGCAGGTATCGAGGTGGACCCCAGACATCTGTCGCTGGTGGCAGATTACATGTGCTTCGAAGGCGTGTACAAGCCTTTAAACAGGCACGCCATCCAGTCCAACTCGTCTCCTCTGCAGCAGATGACCTTTGAGACGAGCTACAAGTTCCTGAAGCAGGCCACCATGCTGGGTAAGGATGAGCAGCTGTTCTGAGTAGTTAGAGCTTGGACAGCAGAGCTCCTCTACAGTCATTTAGTTTTACTCATGTTTACAGTGGGCTTCTGTCAAAATGTTATGAACCGTTCAAATTTTATGACCTCAGTTTGGAGGAAGGTCTGACAGGAGCTAACTGCTGAATCAACCACAGAGGACTGCTCCAATCACCACAGTTTCTACATGTGTCATGAAAACACTTAGTGCTGCAGTAAAGTTAGCATTAGAAGTTATTATCATAACGTTAGGTTGTTACAAGCTCAAATGTGTTAATAACAGCTAACTGTAGCATTTGCAGGGATGTGATTATATTTCTGTTTCAACAGAAAGATGCTGTTGATCTTTATATAAAAATATATTCATTTAAAGCAGTTCCTCCTGATAAACAGAGTCAATGACTTTGTTTGCTTTTTATCCTGTTGTTCTTTAACTATTTTACATTGAATGCACAGAGTGAGTAATTTATCAGATGATCATTTGTGGCCCTGCTGGCAGTGATCAGACCAGGCAGCTCTGATTGACGAGTCAAATATTCTGACATGTTCTGCTGCTTTCAGCTCGTTGTACTAACTCTGGACCTGACCTGGTTTATACCAGGGTTCCTGCAGGCTCTTCTAAAGTCTTAAAAACACAGATTTTCATCCAAGGTCTTAAATTAAATGTAGTCAAGTCTTATCATTTTTTCCTTTGATCATTCCAGAGAMGTGTTGCTGTGTAAATAACCAGAGTGAAGCTCTGTAATCASAGGWTGATGTGATCTGTCTTCAACTGGTGCTCAGTTTGATACTGGTCTTGGTCTGTGGTTAAACTACTGTATAAGTCCTGTGAGAACTGCAGGCATGAAATATCAGTTTACTTCCATGTTTTGGACCTGTTTGCTGCTACAACCTCCTGCATACAGTGTCTTATACATCTGCCCAAAAAACAAAGCAGTTCAGTCCTGTCCTCTGTTTGACGTGGATAGGTCCTCGGTGCGAGGCTGCTAGCGAACTATATCCACCCTGAAGGTTAATCTTGGACAATATCTGATG